TTTTTTTTTTTTTTTTTTTTTGGCCCACATGAAATGTTGAGAAATATTGGAACAAAAACATTGGGGGATAGTTTATGGGTCATTATTGTGTTTCTTAGTCTCTTTATGTGAAGACACACCACAAATCATCCCAACTACTTTTGTTTTTATCTTTTCATTATTTTCTTTTCAAATTAAAGTATACTTTTCTACCTTTATTTACTTTCAATTTTTCAATTTTTCTTTTTTTACCTTTATTTTTATTTATTTATTTTAATACTCCTTTTCTTTTCTTTTATTGAATGAATTTCATTTATACAAATTAAAAAAAAAACATTCAAATGAGAACGATCTGACTAAGAAAAATATAATATTGGTGGAGATTATTCAGAAAAAATTAATATAATATAAAAATTATATATTTATTTATAATTTAAAAAGTCAAACTGAAAATAAGATTTTGAAGTATTTTTTAATATTATTTTATTAAAATAAATAAAATCTAAGTTCTGTCCATGTGCACTACCTGAGTGATAACTTAATCATTAATTTGGCAGTTAACTCTGTAAGAGAAAATAAATTAATAATTGAAACTACATTGCCTCATAAATTAATTTTTAAATTTGATTTCATACCAACAATAATTAAAGTCTTATTTAATAATTATTTAGTTTTTTAAAAATATATTTATTGATATTCTTTTTAATTATGTGATTCTTTATTTATTTTTTTTATTTAATACACTCGGTATACAATCATCTAACTACACATAAAAAGAAAATAAATAGGTTTGGAACTGACATACAGCTTTGAACAAGCATGAGCGTGAGACATCTGACACACGACCACAAGCAGTGTCTTGGACAAGCATGACCGTGACACTTTAAGTTAGATCTTGACATTTTCTATCACTTTTAAATTAGGGTTACTTTATTTAAGTCAATGACATCATTTACATGTATATGTTTCTAAATGATTGTCGTACACATTAAGTATATCATGCATATAGTAACGACTTTTATTTTAGTAGTAAAAATAAGATCGTTACGATTCATTTACTATTATTCAAACTTTCCATCATAATATATAATATAATAGAACGTTACTTATATTATTAACTCAATCAATTTATTAATCCACATATTCTCTCTCATTTCTCTTCGACACTTTGCGACCAAGGCGTTATCGTTGTTTGATGCTCGTTTACCTCTGATCGTTTTGATTGGATTTTAACTCACTATTGAAGAAACGAGTCTTGATCTAGAACAAGTATATATATAGTATTGTGCGCTTTTGAAGTCATGATATAACGAACACGACAATTAATAAAGTAGAAAAAGAATAATGAACAAAATCCTGTAATCATATATGAACTAGCCGACGGTATAAATTTAAAGTCAATTTTCATAATACTTTTTTACCTTCTCCCTCACTCTGAATGAATAGATACATCTCTATTAGTACGAAATCTTCTAGATGTAACAAAAAAAATATAAATTATGAGAGTATTAAATTTAAGGTGGGCACTTTCAACAAATGGACAATATTTTTAATATTTTTTTTTATTGGATTTATAAATAACAATCTTATTATTTCTAAAATTAAAATATATATATATATATATATATATATATATATATAGAATTAAGTTAGTTGGGGAAATTTGAAAAGAATTAAGTTATTTGTGGGGGAAAACAAAATAATGGAAAGTTTGGTGGGTTCAAATTAATGTGACCGTTGAAGTAAGCTTTTGTTTGTAAAAAGGAGGAATTATTTTTGTTAAGCTTTTAATTTTTTCCAACTACAATTATCACACGTCATCATGAGTTTTTTAAAATCCTACGTGGACCTCTCCACTAAGTCATGAACTAACTATGTGGGCCACCACCCAACACCATACACATTTCACTTACCCACTTGGACAAAAAAAAAAAAAAAAAAAAAAAAAAAAAAAAAAAAAAAAAAAAAAAAAAAAAAAAAAAAAAAAAA